CATCTGAGGCATCACATCGCTGCCATGCCAGGGACCTGAGGGAAGGCTGGCAGGGACCCGTTGCCCCGAGCATACGGGCTAACAGCTCCCTTTCTGTACAGGCCAGAGGTGTGGGGCAGGAGGTGAGAGGATTCACCAGAGACAGAGTGGGGAACAGAACAGGACAATTGACAAAGTACACTGCTGAGGGGAGCAGCAGGCGGGTCAGGAGAGGTCTGCCACGCCATGTGGATCTCCCCTGGGGCAGGCGAGGATCTAACTCATGCGGAAGTGGCTTTAGCTTCTTAGTGCTGTGCTTTAACCCGCTGCGCCCCATAATCAAATTTAACACTGCACAAAACCAACATTGTTGGATATTAGACTGACCTTAATTTGCAATTAATAATTAAATAAAAGTGAAGGACATGCAATTACATTTCCATGTGTGGTAAAATGAATATTAAGAATTTGTGGCAAAAATGGTTGTTTAGGCCCTCCCTGGTGGCGCAGCAGGTTAAAGCACAGCACTGAGAATCTGAAGCCACTTCCGCATGAGTTCGATTCCCGCCGGCCGCCTGCCCCGGAGGAGACCACATGGCGAGCCAGACCTCTCCTGACCCGCCCGCTGCTCCCCTCAGCAGTGTACTTCGTCAATCTGCCTGTTCTGCTCCCCACTCTGTCTCTGGTGAAGCCTCTCACCGTCCCTGAGCCTCTGGCCTGTACCCCAGTTCTATATGAATAAATAAATAAATCTTTAAAAAAAAAATGGTTGTTTATTTTCAATAGCATTTTTCTTTTTTATTGTTATTTTTTCAGATTTTCTCTTCTTTATTATATATATTTTAAATCATGCTTCATTTTGTACATTTTTCCATCTCAGTTGTAATCCCCATGGAGTAGAGATGCTCTTCATTTTTTAATTCGAGTACTAGGTTGGTAAGCCAGACTGAAAATACTGAGCTATACTTACCAAGACAGATGCACAGAAGTTGGGTTATATATGGGTTGTCCCAGAAAATGCCAGCTTGGACAGGGTCCCCATCCAGTCCCCTAGGTCATTTGGAAGCAAAAATATAAGAACTGTAACAGTAGAAACCACAGCTGGCTCCTGAGTCCGGCATGCTGTGGCCAATGCCGGGCTTCCACGGGCCCCTCCACAGCCGCCATGGTCTCCCGTGTCACAGGGGCACCGAGCGGCGCGCCCCGCCCCTCCCGCAGGGGCGCATGCGTTCGCCTCCGTGTTGGCCTCCCCTCTCCGGCCTCACCCCAGGCGGCTTCAGGCTGGCGCGGCCCTGTGACTGCCGCAGTGCACTCCATTTCCCCAGACTTCGCCTGTCTGTCAGTGGGTTTAACCTTGAGCCTCTTTGGACACTGCCCCGTCAGTTCTGCCCTCCGTGTGGCTGTTGACCCACAAACGCAGTGCCTGCGGGGACAGCGGCCTCAGCTCTGCTGCCTTTCTGCCTCGTGGCCATGTGGGCCTGGTGGCCCAGCCTGGGCCCCACAGGCTCTGCTGAATTGCCATGGAAGAACTGAAGCATCTGAGGCATCACATCGCTGCCATGCCAGGGACCTGAGGGAAGGCTGGCAGGGACCCGTTGCCCCGAGCATACGGGCTAACAGCTCCCTTTCTCCTACCGTCTCTCGGCCAGTTGTATTTTCACTCTGCCACACCCTTCTGTCTCATTTTTGTGCAGAGAATAGTATCACCCACATCAGCATCCCCCTGTTTTCAGGTGCACTTGGTGTTACTGGCTCCTGACCCCCCAGCTCTCACTATGGGGGGTGCACCACCTCTGGGACCCTCGCCGGTCACCCTCTGTAGTAATCACCTGTACCTTCTCTGTCTCCAGGGTTCCGTGGAGAAGGGGGCTGTAGCCTCAGCCAACAGTCAGAAGACAGACCCTCCGCTGGAGCCCAAGCTCAAATTGGTGGACTGGGACAAGGTAGCTCGCAGGAGCTGGGGCGGGGCAAAAGGAGGGGGTTCACAGAGCAGTGGGTGGGCTCACGGTTATTCATGATGTTTCTCCTGGAAATGCCGATGCGGGAGCTGAGGTCCACAGCTCAAAAATGCCTCATGAGACAACAGACCCAGCTGAGGTTTGGCAGGGGCAGGGAAAGTGCCAGGAGGAGGTCTGTGCAGGGCCACACCCCAAATAGCCGAGGGAAGAAGGAGGTCCCACTGGGGAACGAGGCAGAGCTGCCCAGCGGTGCAGCATCATGGGTGGAGACCCTTGGCACGGGCGGGGAAGCCTACTGAACTGGGGGGAGGACGGACAGGACGAGTCGTCCGCCGTCTGGGTCAGCAGAGCCCATGACAACCCCTTGTGTCCAGTGGCTGGCTGTGATGAAACAGACCTCATTTGTTGGCTAGGGGAGTTCTCGAGGACTCAGGGGTCCCAGGTGGATGTGGATTCGTTCAGCGGAAAGGGAGGTAAAGCAGCCCCCTGGGGGCTCTGGACAGAGCCAGCCTCGGGTGCCCAAGCCCTCCACCTCACCATGAGACCATCCTGGTGGCGTGTTGCCATTTTCCCTCAGCTTTGACGTGAATAGATGCATTCCCGAATGTCCCCTGACCTTGCGGGACACCAGGGACAAGAGATGGATGGGACAGGCCCCCAGCCCCAGGGAGCTCACAGCCTGGTGGGGACAACACAAATAGTTCTGGCAACCTAGAAAGAAGCCAGAACACACTCAAGGAACCCCAGTCACGAAGAGGGTGCTGTTCACAAAGAGGGCTGTTTCCTGGGCCTCAGAGCTGGGGTTCTTGAGACCCGGACCTCAGGAACCTGGAAATACTTCTGCCACTGCCTCCAGGGGCCCGTCAGCCTGCAGCCTTGGGGGCTCTACTAGAGAGGCCAGGACAAGGTGTTGCATGCCCCATCCCCTGCAGAGAGGCAGGTAACCAAAGGAAACCAGAAGGCCAATGAGGGACTGGCCTGCACCGACCATAGAGTGTGCCTCCCAAAGGGCTCTCTAGAGTTGAGGCCCTGACTTAGTGTCTGGGCCTTCACCCTGGACTTGGCCAGGATTGCTCAGTGCACAGGGCAGCAGCCGGGGTTGAGGGATCTTGGTCTAAATGGTGGGCTTCTGTGAAAGTTTTGGGGACTTGGGCTTGCTCTGCAAGCACAGGGTGAGGGGAGATGGCCTGCGTGGAGGGGACAAGCACCTTGTCCTAGGAAGGGAGGAACCATGTAGGGTGCATGGGAGTTTGGGGGCAGGATCAGAGGGTGAGCACTCTGAGGAGAGTTCAGGGTTCAGCATCCAGGGAGTGGTACTGGGGTGCTGAGAAAAGCAGTTCTTGGGGTCAGCATCTGCTGGCTTGGCCTCAGGGTTGAATCTTAGAAAGGAAATATTTTAGAGACAGCTGGCCAAGGTGGATCAATACAGGCAGCCGACTGGGCAGAGTAGCAGCAAAGAATTGTCTTGGTAAGGATTGGGGCTGTGGTCTGAGGCTGAGGGGGGCAGAGAGTGGGGGCAGGCTGCACAGATCCCCCTTGCCAGCCCTGTTCTGGGGAAGAAGCCTTCTATGGTCTCCCTGAACTTCAGGTTCAAAGCTGACCCCGGCTCTGTCATGGCCTGAGGCAAGGGTTGAAGCCCCCCAGGTCATGCTGGGAAGAATAAGGAAACACTGAGTGGGCTGCTGGATCAGAAGGCAGAAGGTTCTGAGAAGATAGGGCCCAGAAGCCAGCCCTGGATGCCCGCCCTGCTCAGAGATGAGTTGTGTGATTTCCAGGCTCTACCTGGAGTGTTACTAGAACAATGTCTAAACCATCCTGGTCATCCCCTTGTCTGTCAGTACCAGGCTTCTGTGTGAGACAAGAAACCCAGTTGTGGTTTGCACCCCATGACGCGCCCACATTATCTCCCTGTTCCAGGGTCCATCCAGTAAGGATGGCCAGAGCTGCCAAGCTGCCCCTCCTTCTGGGCATGCCTGTCCCCTTTGTCCTTCTTGTCACCATTTCTGTGTCCTTTACAGAGTCCTCCTCTGGCAGCCTCTTCTACCCTTCCCATCTCAGGTCTTGCCTTTTTCAAACCTGACAGAACTGGTGTGATCTGAGGGGTTTGCAGAGTTTGCTGCTCACATGCCCTGGGCAGTGAGGTCAGCACCGATGAACACTGCACTGGTGGTGCTCCTGCCAGTGCCAGGCTCTGCTGCAAAGCACTTGAACTATATTATCTACCCTCTGGTGCAGTCTTCCAAGAGATAAGGATTATGAGGACCCTGATTGAACTGATGAGCGCTTAAGTCTGCTGCCCAAAGTCGAAGACACTCCGTGGGCTTTCTCAGCATGGCGCCCTCTCCCTGCCTGCTGCTCCCTCTGACGCTCTGCCTGTCCAGAGGTCCTGCCTCGGGCTAAGCCAGACTCCATCCAGCAGGACCCTGTCACCCCAGCTCCTGGAGAGACACTGCCAGGGGTGTATGGGCCCCTTTCCCCTTAAGAGACAGGTAGAATCATCTGGCCATCTGTGTCACAAAGCGAAATGCACCCGTCTGCTTTCCAGCCCCCCCTTACATACATGCACACACCACACACGTGTGCACGCACATACACACCTCAGCATCAGGGGCTGCTCCCAGGATCTTCAGAGTCTGGCAGAGATGTTTTTGATCATGGGGGTTTAGCCTTTGGGGGCCTTCAGATAAGTCATGGAGAACTTGAGGAGGTAGTGCCAGGGTCAGTACAGGAGTCACTTGGACAGCACACTGCTCGGGAAGAGTCTACCTAGATGCTTTGGGTGCTGGCTTTGGTCACCCACATCTGTCTGCACCCAAGTTACCTGGGGCCCTCTGGGGCCTCCTTTTGGCCTCAGAGTAAGATTATGGAGGTTTAACAGATCCCCCTCTCCTTAGGATGCAGCCAGGGGCTGGGGTCACACTGGCTGCTTCACGGTGCTGTCCATCCTCCTCACTCACTGAGCCTCAGCACCTCATGCCTGCTCTCTGTCCCCTCTCATGTCCCTTAGCCCTTGCAGGAAGGAAGCCAAAGTCACAGGGGTGCAGGGAGGACCATAGAGCATGAGGAACAGGCCAAGACCCACCTCTGTAAACCTGAATGTGTCCAGTTGTGAGCTCCTAGTTACACTGCACAGGAGGCCTGCAGGCTCCCCTGCAAGGACACCAACAGCCCCCATGGAGGCCCACACCAGACAGCCCACTAGCCGCCCCTGCAGGCCCCTCACAGCCTGTGTGCTGGCAAGCTCACAGCCAGGGGCGTCCTGCATTTGGGAGCCTCCTGGTGCAAGATTAAGACCTTCGGCCGGGGAGCTGGCTGGGCTCAGGGCAGGCCCACCACACACCCCAGTCACCGAATCACTGGCCACGGCCTCCTGTCTGCACAATGAGGGCGTCGCAGACCTCACTTGCAAAGTTACAGCTGAGGAGCGATAATGGATGTGCAGTCTGAGTCCAGGGGCCTGCCTGGATGTAAAAACACTGACTGGGATTCTTGTTGAGCTCTGGTCCTTTCTCCCCTCCCACTCTCCCCGCTTCCTCAGAAAACTGGCTCAGAGCTCTGGGCTTTGGGTGGACATTAAAACAATTGCCCGGGCTAATGGTGGCGGTGGTGGGAGGAGCTGCTGGCACAGAGCAGCTGCTAGTGTCCCATGTTTGCCTCCTCCAAGGAGAGCAGATCCCCAACTTCCTGCTCCCCAGCTGGAGATGCCCCTGGAAGGAGTGCCACCTGGCCCCTGTGCTGCAGGAGGAGGACCTGAATACTAGAGGAGTGGAGCAGAGCCGCCCCCTGCCACCCTCACCTCCCCCCAACACACACACACACACACTTCCACCCACCCTCTGGGCACAGGCTGCCCTTTTCCCTTCGGGGGCCTTGGTACGGGTGCATTCCTGTCATAGCCCCAAGAGGCCCTCTCCCTCCCTCTCCTATTGGGGCAAGGGTCAAGCTCGATGGAAGAAGGAATGGGACCCACAAGGGGCTTTGGGCAAGCTCATCCCATCTTGCATGTGCCGCTCAAGGGCCCAGCCTACTGCATGGGGTCTTCCAGTTTACCAAAGGGCCCCTGCAGCTCCACCAGAACAGTTTCTCACCCTCATCTGTGAAGTCTGGCTCTCTGAGCAGCAGGTTCCGCAACAGAGAATGGGGATTTGCTGTTATCAAGGTAGCTATGAAAGCCCCCAGATGCCGAGGAGCTAGAGATGTGGCCTTTCCCTTCACCCCAGCCCTGTTTCTTCCACCCAGACTTTGTCTGAGCCTCCCCCTGTGTCCCCTAAGCCTTAGGAATTAGGATTGGAAGGGGCTAGGAGCAGGCACCGGCTTGAGATGAAGAGAACCATTATGTGAGCCATTTGTAGGGGGTCCACAACTACCTAGAGGAGGAAGTGAAACTTGCCTTGAGTCCCATCCCACCTTGTTAGTTCCCAGCTGGTCTTTTGCCATCCTCCCTTCTCAAATCCAGTTTCCACCCCACTGCCATGTTGGAAAGTGCCAGCAATTGAAAAGTGTTGAAAACACTGGTGCCCAGCTGATCATGACAGAAAGAGGATGGAGCATGGATGCTCTGCCGGGGTGCCCGTCTAAATCTCAGCTATGCTCATGGTGCTGTTCTAGCTCCCGGGAGGTTGTGTGGTACACACTGCGCACTGGGAGGGGCAGACAGGGAGCTCCCTTTCTGGGACAACCCAGTCTCAGTGTTCATTTAACCTCTCTGGGTCTCAATGACATCACCCATAAGACGGGGAAGAGAGTGGTAGGCTGGATTCCTTTTCTCACGGGGGAGGCTCACTTTATTTCCTTGGAAAAGTGGGGTTGGGGCGCCAGTGGGAGTGTAGGTGTCAGCCTTTGTGGGCTGAGGGGAGGCGGGGTTCTTCTTAGATTTCTCCAGGGTGCTCCTTCAGTTCCCATAGAAAAGTGACCTCTGGGCACTAAAGAGGGCTCTCTTGAAGTAATTCACTGTAGGCTAGATGCAGGACCTGGGTTCAAGGCCCTCCAAGGTTAGAGGACCCTTGGCACCAACACGTTTGCTGTTGCTGTTTCTGTAGTGGCCATTGCCTGTTGGCCTAACCAAGGAGAAACCTGAGTCCTGTTCAAAGCTTAAACGAGCAATAAGACATCAAATGAGGGATCCCTATGTGTTGGGGGAGGGGAGGGTAGGATGAAGGGCTGGTCCTCCTTCCATCACAGTGGAAAACAGAAACCTCTCCAGCAATCTAACACAATTCTCCATACCTCCTCTGGCCTGGTGTTCTGTTCCCTTCACATTGGGGTCTAAGCTTCAAACTGGAATCCCTGTTTGCTACACACCTAGACATTTCTTCTTGGGTCTTATCTGAACTAAGCTTATGAATTCTATGCTGTCTTCTACTTTCTTTATGAAATAAGGGTACATTGGATCAACAGTTAAAAATTTACCGACAATTTTAGGTACTGCTAAGTTGAGAGAAGCCCACCTGGCTTGTATTCTCCATGTTTAAACTGGGCATGTTTGTTTTCTAAGGTAGCTAAGTCCAATTTAAGGTTGTAGATGAAAAAGAGGTATAAAGTGTCATGTGGAAGATAGACAAATAGAACATATAAAAGCTAGGAGTTTCATTAAATACAGATGGTGGTAAGTTAAGAATGAATATGATCTTTTGAGCAGCCACTAGGGGAAATGTAAAAAAGGCTCAGAACACCAGCGAGAAGATGATATAAGGGATTTGAAAAGACTTGACTAATGCAAATTAGACAAGAAAGCACAGAGGAGACAAATAAAAAACAGATGGCAAGATGGTAACCTACTTCGACATTAAATGTAAATGGACTAAACATTCAAATTACAGGAAGAGATTGTTTGACTAAATAAGAAAACAAGACCCAACTGTGCTTTCTGCACAAAATGTAAAGACATATGTGTTAGAAGCAAAAGGTGTGGAAAAGACAGACCATGCAAACACCAGGCATACAAAGCCTGGGTGACTCTATTAAAATCAAACGGGCTTCAGGACAAGGAGTACAAGTGTGGACCAAGCAGGCTAATTCTCAGTGATAAAGGGGCCAAGGCAGCAAAAAGATATAACTGGGCAAACTTGGCCAATCTACTGCTTCCATCTTCCCATCTGAAAAATTATAATATATAATAAATAATATATAATATATAGTAAATAAGAGCACCTGCCTACTTAGGTGCCTGAAGATCAAATGAAAATTCACATAAAGTGAATAGAACCAAATTTGGCAAATAACAAAAAATGTACCATCTTACTTCTCAGTGCTGTCACAAACGTCACAAAATCTCAAGCCCTTGTTGGCCTACCTTCTTCTGAGGTGGGACTCTGCAGGTTGTGAAAGATAAGGTATGAACCCAGGTCACCAGCTGGTTCCTCCAGTTCTTTGTCCTGGTAGTAGTGGTGGCAGTGTGTGTGTGTGTGTGTGTGTGTGTGTATGTGTGTGTGTGAGAGAACACACACCCAGGGAAATGTTTGCTGCTAGACCCAAGGTACAAAGTCAAGGAGACTAGGGGACTTGGACCAGGAAGAGATCGATAACAGACAAGGATTGGATGATGAACTGGTTTAGCTGGTGCTGGATGGGAAGAGTTCAAACTGACCTGGGTCATCTTCCAGCCTAAGAAAGAGGAAGACTTCCAAGTTCACATGGCAGGAGCCACATCATTCTGGGGCCTTTCCTGCTTGTGGCAGGTATAGGGAGAATGTTCAGTGACCTTCCCTGCTTGCCTTCAGATCCAAAGGCCCCTGTTCCAAGGCCATGACAGCTGGACTAGCTTCACCTTCCAGGGCTGGGAGACCTGCTGGACCCGAGCCTGTTTTGGTTTGGAGGCCTGTGTAAGGATGAGATTCAGCCAGGGTTAAAGGAAGGCAGGTTACTGAATCATTATTGACTTCCTCCAAGTACATCTCTGGCTCCTCCCCTTTCCATTCTTTCCACCACTTGCCTTCTCACCTGCGGAGGCTGTATTGGCTCACCCGTTTCCCTTGTACTGGAGATTTATTACCACCTACCCTGCCCTAGGCAATAGGCACCTCTGGCCTTCTCTCCTGTTGTGGGTCCAGGCACACTCAGAAGGGCTCTGAGAGGTAGCCACTTGGCTTCTTACCATCGGTGGGAGAGCCCGGCTCAGCATAATGTCTCCTCCCTCCAAGGCCAGTGATCTTTTCAGCTCTCAGTTTACTGAATGGCTCTAGAGTAGTCTTCTTCCACACAATGACTCGCCAGCAGTCTTCAGGAGCTTCCCATTGCCTAAAGTTGTGGCCTGTAAACACTTTTTATCTTGCACCCAAGATAAACATTGTGAACATGCTCTCCATGACATGTCCATTTTAGTGACCTATAAATTATTAATAATACACACTTTACAAAATATGCAACTCTGGCTTATAGACAAGACAAATAGATCACAAATAAAATCTCTGATATTTTTCCCCACCTTGGACAATCAACCAGTAAGAACCCCTGGATTTCATAGACTTTAGACTTGGGAGATGCAGTGGCAATTCCTGGTCTGGTATGGGGTGACCCACCGTCTAGAGCTCTGAGCAGATTTTGTCAATCTGCAGATGGACGCTCTGCAGCGTCAGTGTGCAGGATGAACCACAATCATTCTCAGCTCCAAGTATTCACCCACGTTCCCTCCTCCCTTCTTTCCCCTCTCCCCTCACCAAGTTCTCCTTTTTATATAAGCTCTAGCCCAAACCTCAGGTTCTCTGCAAAGCCTTCCTATTCTGCCTCCTGATCTCTGACTGCCTACATCACCCCTGAAATGTCTGGCCTGCTATAAGTCTCTCCTTGTTGAGCACTTCATGCAGGTACCATTTTTATTACTTCCATTTCATAGCTGGGGAAACTGAGGATCAGAGAGGTCAAGTAATTTGCCCAAGATCATATGGCAAGTCACGGAGCCAGGATTTGTTCCCAGGTATGTCTCTTAGAGTCCAAACTCTGATTAAGCATTAAGTTATGTGAAGTTAAGATTGCCTCTTTCGTTCCTGTTCTTCCCAGCACCTAGCATAGACATATATGTTTATATGAAATGTGGAGCAAATTGTTGAATAAATGATCTTTGGCTGAATAAATGTATTACCCCAAGGAGAAAGCCCATTGTGAAGGAAAAGGGGCCTGCTTCATACCTACTAAAGAATATATTGGCTCCAGTGCCTTAAGAGTCCTGGTTAATCATGGCAGGAGTATAAAGGACCAGGGGAGAAAATAATAATAATAATGAACAGCCATATACCAGAGACATTGTATGGGGGTTGAGTGGGGGGTGGGATCAAAAGCAGTGGGGGGAGGGAAATGCACTGGACTATAGTGATGGCACATGGTGATTTGGTGATGGGAAGCCCAAGGGGATTACAACTGAAATGGAAATATGCACAAAATAGTATAAAAATAAACTATTATATATTGAAAAAAAAAGAGTCCTGGTTAAAACTTTAAGCTTCAGGTGTAACTGAAGGCATGTGCTCAGACATCATTACCAGGATCTGGGGGTCTCTAACTTCTCGCTCTGCCCTCTTCTGTATTGACTGAAGCATTAGACAGGCTCTGCTGGCAACTCCAGGGTCACACCCTGCCAGCTTAGGTCATAGACCTGTCCTGGATCCCATTTCTGTGACAGGGACTGGGATGAGTAGCTTGGTCGGTTCTGGATTGCTGAAGCAAGAAGAAAGAATGAATTTGCACAGGTGTGAATACTAAGTGTTCTCTTGACTTTGTCTCTTGCAGGATCTGGTAGACTGGCGGAAGCCTCTACTGTGGCAGGTAGGCCATTTGGGAGAGAAGTATGACGAGTGGGTCCACCAGCCAGTCACCAGGCCTATCCGCCTCTTCTACTCAGACTTCATTGAGGCTCTTACCAAGACTGTCTGGTAAGCCCTGAACCTGTGGTGGGCTGTCTCCCTATCCTGATGGTGCCAACCACATATGGAAAGGCCACTTAGCATCCTCCCCCAAGCCCAGAGTTACAGAGTAAGCTCCTGGGGAGTGGAATGTGCCATAGGTATAATCCATTTCTATGCATGGCTTTGTTCCCTAGTGATAACCCAACTGGTAGCCAAAAACCACTTGGAACACCGCCCCCTGTTCTATTCTAGGCTCTTATGAAAGGTTTCCAACGCCAATGTTAATTTGCCTGCAATTAACTTCTCTGCCACAAGAGGTCAGCTTCTCTCCGGCTGCACAGAGTTAATAGCTGGAGGGACAGCTTCTCTACCAATAAGTCATCTCAGACATGAAGGGAAGCTGGACCCTGTTGAGCACCTGTGAATGGATGTATCTCTCTCCCTGATGGCTCTTCCTCAGGTACAGCGTCCCCATCATCTGGATGCCCCTAATGCTGTACCTCAGTTGGTCCTACTACCGAACCCTCGCCCAGGGCAATGTCCGACTCTTCGAGTCCTTCACCACAGGTAATGTCGCTTCCTCCCTGATTTGCTTCCTGGGAGTTGGGAGAGCTCGGTACTCTCCCCAGTTCTGGGGAGAACCCCAAAATCACACAGCTTTAAAGAAGACGTGTCAAAGTAGTCAGTCTTCCAAAGAAAAATGTTGTCAGACTCCCACCCCCCCCCAAAGGATAAAAAGCAAGCAAACAAAAAAGCACTTCATCAGCAGAAACTAAATGAAATCATCTCGTCAGGTGCCATAACAATAAAGAAATAATGAGAAAGGGAGGGGTCTCCCTGAATTGGATGCAAGAAATGTGTGAGCTGGGGTTGCTGGTCCAGAAACTACATGAAGTCATTTCACCATATGGCCAAGCTGAGAGCCAGACTGAGAATGGTCCACAAACATATCACAGGTTAGAGCCCGGGAGAGAAGTTCCTGGATGTGTCCTCAGCGTCTCCTGGGCAAAGGCCCACACAGCAGGCCCTAAACTCTGCTGGAGTAACCGCCCACAGCCTTTGCTGTGCACTTACCCCATGCCTACTTGGGCTTCCAGGGACCTTCTCATTTAACCCAGGTCCTCTCATCCTGCCCATTAGAGATGAGGAAATGGAGCCTCAGAGAAGGCAAATGAGTGATTCAGGGTCACACAGCAAGAAATGGGGAGGGCTGGTGTCTCCCGTTTGGGGAGCAGGCAACAGAGAGGAGGGTTATTTCCACTGAGCCTCTGAGACGTCTCTCCAAGCACTGCAGATTTGGCTGTGGGCATTTCTGCCAGCCTGCCTCCCAAGCTCAGCTCCTACCTCGGGCCCAGGTTTATGCCTCCTGCCCCCGTGGTTTGTGCTGCCTCTGGGAGGTGTGGGCGCTGGAGGATGGCTGAACTGGAGGCCAAGTTGGGAGCTCCGGTGGGCTTCCCTTGTGCAAGCTCCTATCATTCTGTCATTACATCCTGACTGTAAGCCTGCAGAGCCCCCTCGCTCTGCCAGACACGGGCATCTTCTCCCCACACTATATACCTGTTCCTGCCCACCTCTCCCTGGAGTAGCAAGTCAAGTTCTGAATAATTTACATGAGAGGGGCCACAGGCACAGCAATGGGAGCCCCAGTTTTCCCAGCTAGCCCAGGATGGGCTGGGCCTGAGCAAGCTGCAGGAAGTGCCCTGAAGTCCAGAGCTAATCTTGGTCACCAAGAGTTAACCCGAGGTCTAGGGAGCCCAAAGTTACCCTTTCTGCCCACGCTGAATAGCTCAGGCACAGCACAGGGCTTGTTGCTCAGAAAGCTGCTCGCTGAATCACCCACTGTCCGCCCGGCGCTCCCCTAACAATCACCAACAGTGGCAGGGCTGCCAGGCCGGCAGCCGGAGGGGGAAGGGATGCCGGAGCTTTGGCCGAGGTCCCTCTGCAGGATTCCTCCGGAGATGCCATTCGGTACCAGCTCGGGCTGGATGGGCCGACGATGACGCTGGTGATGCTGGGGTGAGGGGGCGGGCGGAGACTTGACCTATAGGAAGGGACTCTACTGTGTGGCAGGGAGGGTGATTCGAGGGCTCAGAGGGCTCCAGAGGGCTCCGTCAGAACTGCGGCCTCTGCTGAGAGCTAAACGCCATGGTACTAAAGGTCAAGTGGAGAGGGCTGGCGAGCCTGTGCCATGCTGCCAGTGCTGGTGGCATGAGAGCCGTGTCTCCACCTGCCTCCCTCACCCTCCAGCTCATCAGGCTGGGCACGGGCCACCAGCAGAGGCAATAAGAGCTGCAAAGCCAAGCAGCAGGGGGAGGAGAGAGGAAGGATAGGGCGGTGGGCAAGGAAACGGGGAGCGCCCCAGGGTCCCAGCGCAGCTGCCAGACTGGAACTAGCACAGAGAAGCCAGGGTGCCAGGAAGGGAGACGCCTGCTCAAGGCTGTGACTCCTAATGCAGGTGTCCAGGGTGCCAGGAAGGGAGACAGAAGTACATGGCCCTGCAGCAGCATAAGTGGCCTCCAGGCCTCTAATAGGATGGCATGGCTGGAGCCCCAGCAAAGGTCGAGGCCAGGCCGGAGTCTCTGAGAGGGAATGGTTGTTTCCCTGCTGTGAGGGCTGGAACCCCCTCCCCCGACCAGGGACTCTCCAGAACTCTACTAGGAGAAAACTGGCAGAAGTAGGACTCCGACTGGTTATATTTTAAACATCATAGTAGCTGCCGGCAAGACATGAGGAGTGTTGCAGTAGGATGTTAGGTTTTAATCCATAATGTGTTATCCTTCTATCATGGATACACTTGTACGATCACTACAGCAGTGTGGCCCAGCCTCACAGCTGCTGAACCTGGCGAGGGCAGCAGCTCCCAGGGTGACCTGGACAATGAGCGGGACCTCTGAATCATCAGGTGCTGTTGCACCTGAGCAGTCTGCCTGACCTCACCTCTCTCCTGCCACCCTGCAGAGTATTCAGTAGCCATGCCCAAGTCCACATTCCCCGGCCTCTTCATGCTGGGGGTATTCAGCTGGACCCTGATCGAGTACCTCATCCACCGCTTCCTGTTCCACATGAAGCCCCCCAAGGACAGCTATTACCTCATCACGCTGCACTTCATCTTGCACGGGCAGCACCACAAGGTGAGCTGGGGTGAGGCTCCCCCCTCACCCTATGTCCACCTACTCCCTTTGGGCTGGGAGCCGGGAATGGCAGCTGGGACTGAGTCACAGAGCTGCCCATCTTCCCAAGAGTCTAATGGGAGAAGTCAAGGGTGTTTGATGTTGCTCAGAGGGGTGACAGGGTCCCAGTCTGGACCGGGCATGGACAGAGTGAAGGTGTGTCTCTGTATTCCACCATCATCAATGCCAGGTATGTGTCCTGTGTCTTTACTCCTCATAACAACTCATTCATGGGTTCGTTCGTTCAACAAGTGCTCACCATGTGCCAAGCACAGTTCTAGACACCATTAGACAAAACACAAAAGTACTGCCCTTGTAGAGTTTGCTTCTGAAGATGAGAATTGAAGCTACAGTTCTGCCCGTTCCACAGAGCGGCCAACAGAGTTGGGCGTTTAAGGAACTCGCCCAGCATCACATACACACAGCAGGGGTGGTGGGCCCCAGTCTGAGCTTTAACTGGTCACTGCCTTGGGGCTCTTCAAGGGCAACAGGACAGGCCCTAAGGCCAGCAGCCCCTGCCTGGTCTCCCAGAGGAATGGGCCTCCTCAGGCTGCTTCTCTGTCCTTGCTCCAAGCCATTCTCAGCTGGCCCCAAGGCCTCCGACCTGCCTCCCTCCCTCCGCCCCTCCCTTCATTTTCCAGGCGCTGGCTTCCAGAGCCTTCTTGCTGCCATCTGAAGATAGGAGGCCCGTGTCAGCATATCACTCTGTGATTGCCTGCCTCCTCTCTCTTCAACCGAGGGTCTCTCTCATCTCAGAATACTCATAAAGCTGCCTCTAAAGTCTCACCTCTTTGTGGGACTTTGGCTTTGGAAGTGCTAGAGCCGAAGGCATGGCTCTTTTGTTCTCTGGTTCACGGCACACCCCTACCTAGGGATGAAAAAAGCCTCCCATTTAGAACGGAGGTGGGAAGAAGGTATCTGTTCACACTCCCACTCACTATATCATGTGACCCTGCTCCGACCTTAGCTTGTGGGTGTGTGGCCTTACCAGACATCAGGCTCCATCTCAGTACACCAAATGGTATCTGGAGGGGCCTTCCCCTCTAGAACCTAATAAATGGCCAGCCTAAAGCTAGAGCCAGGGCTCTCCCTGGTGGCATATGGGGGTAAGACACAGCACTAGGAAGCTGTCCGCAGCCACTGCAGCATAAGTTTGATTCCCAGCCAGCACGGTGACCCACAGGGCCCAGCAGACCTCTCCTGGCCCTCCCGCTGCTCCCCTCAACAGTGTATTCAGTACATCTGCCTGTTCTGCTCACTGCTCTGTCTCTGGGGACTCCTCTCACCCCCCCCGTCCTACACCCCAGTTCCTGTATGTATAAATCAATCTTCAAAATAAAATAAAGCTAGAGCTGGACTCTGAACCAGGAACCTCCTGCCCACATCACATCTACCTCTGCATTTGGGCAATTTTCCAAGTCCCATCCTGACTTGGAAATTGGGTGCAGGGCAGTCTCTCTCAGGCTGCCATGGGGTGGCCGGCCCTCCCAAAGCCACTGGAAGTGCCAAGCCTCCCCACAACAGAGGGCTGCCTGCTCACAAAACACCTGTCTGCTCTGCCCCATCCTCCCAAGGGCTTCTCCCCCAGGCCAGGGACACGGGTGGCCCTGCGACGGGACAACCTTCTGACCAGCAGCCTCTCCATCCGCAGGCGCCCTTCGATGAGTCCCGCCTGGTCTTCCCCCCAGTGCCAGCTTCTCTGGCCATTGCCTTCTTCTACATGTGCTTACGGGTCCTCCTGCCCGAGCCGGTGGGCGGCTCTGTGTTTGCCGGGGGCCTGCTGGGCTACGTGCTCTACGACATGACCCATTACTACCTGCACTTCGGCTCCCCGCACAGGGGCTCCTACCTGTACCACCTGAAGGCCCACCACGTCAAGCATCACTTTGCACATCAGCAGTCAGGTGAGGCGGGCCAGCCCCTCCCAAGCTCCCTGATGTGTTCGTGTATTTATTTGACAGCTACCACTGGGCAGCCCCCAAGACTAGGCACTGCTCTGGGGCTGGGGAGACCCAGCGTGCAAAGCAAGCTGGCACTGGTGGAGGGTCGGGGAGTATTAAGAGGCAGACACAGAAGGGAATCAGCCAACAGCAGAGATCATTTCAGATGGTAAGAAGCGCTAAAAAAAAGATATAAAAGCAGATGTATCGGGGAAGGGGGTCCCGTGCAATCTGATAACGTTTTGACGTGATCTGGAATTTCCTAAAAGTAAACGGATGAAATTAATTTTAGTAATAGATTCCATTTCAGTGTGTGATCAGTGTAAAAGAAAACCGTTCCCAGGATAGTTCACATCCTCTCTCTTGTGCTACGCCTTGCGGAGCGCGGTGTGTGCTGGGCCAGAGGTTAAATTTCCATTGCAAATAGTGGACCTGGGTTGATAAGATCTGTAGTCCAAAAAGTATACTCACTCGTGAATTGCTCCAAATGTGCTTAACCGTCTCTGGATAGCCGAGTGTACGTTTTTAAACTGCAATGGAAAATGATGACAATGAAGCGCCGAGCTCCCCTGAGCTGTCCTCGCAATGCCCGGGCTCAGTCGTCCCTGGGACTCGCGGCTACCACGCTGACCGCCAGAGCGCTAAACAGAGTGGCCTGAGAAAGTGTCCCTGCAGAGATGCCCCTAGGGCGGAGACCTAAATTAAGAGAAGCCAGCATGCAATGACTGGAGAAAATAAAACCTTGAAGCAGGAATGAACTTGGCAGCTACAAAGAGAAGAGGCTGAAGTCTGAGTGAAGGGGAGAGGGAGCAGGTGAGGTCAGCCCTGCAGGACTCAGACCAGAGAAACAACCCAGGTTGATGCCCACAGCATCAAGATGAGGCTCAGGGGGCCCCGCTTGACTTCTGCCAGGATGGCCCAGAGAGAAGGGGGCACAGCAGCACAGATGTGGAGGCCTCCAGTCTCCCTCCCGCCAGGCCCGCCTCTGCACGCTTCATCCTCTCTCCATTTGTCTCCCTCTAGGATTTGGCATCAGCACTAATCTTTGGGATTACATTTTCCACACGCATATGCCAGAAGAACCCCACCCGAAGACACAGTGACAACTCTCAGCCCCCTCCCCACCCTTCCTCCCCACCCCCACCCCAGGCAGACGCTGAAATGAAGGTTGGCTTGGTCAGGCAGAATATGCCTTGTCTGACCATTGGGCTGGGTGGAGGGCACTAGGGAGACCCTGAAGACTGAAGCTGACCCGAGACTGACCTGCCACTTGGTGACCAAACAGCCTTCGGGGACCAGCTCTTTCCTAAAGCATCGGCCTCTCCACCTGTGTTGCTGCCTAAAGCCTGAGCCCACAGGGCCGCTTCAGGGCCGGCCAGTGGGAGTGCCCCCAGGGGAATGAAGGAAGCTGACCCCTGGGGCCAAATGGGCCCATCAGTGTCTTGGCACCTTGGCCTCACATACGGTGCAGCTGCCGGCGTGCACAGAGGCAGGTCTGCAGGTCTGTGGCCCTCACCTGCCCGGCCTTCCCTTCCTGGAGAGGGGTCCGTGGCTCTGACTGTCCTGATGAGTGGGGAATGCTGAGGTGGAGTAAGCGCTCTCAAGAGGAGAGACAGCATGATGCCTCCCCTGTGCAGGCCACCCCAGATCTGGAGCAGCCTGTGCCCCCTCCAATCATGGATGCCGACTGTACTGCCCACGCCTCACCTACACCCACCCTCGCCTGTTGGTGTGGGCCGTGCGAACTGAGTTCTGCAGTCCCTGAAGGCCTCCAGGCTGGCGGGAACCTATCCCTCAGCTGCTCTGGCCTTCTCCCCCTGCCTCCTGAATCACAAAGCCTGCTCCCCAAGGGAGGTTAGCAAGACCTCCCCATGGCCGGGGCCCTCCCTCACCCCCTGTCATTCTCAACATCGACATACCTGGCACAGGGTGCATTTGTCCCCTCCCTCGGGACCCTTCCACAAGTGCCTCCTTAAGCCTTCAAGCAGTGCCTTACCACCCCCTCCCCACACCCAGCAGGTGAGGTCCCCCCTTTCTTCCTCATAACCAAAACCCTCACTGCTCATAAGAGGGTCTTATTTATAAACTGTATCAAGCCCTTAGTCTGGCCCCAGACCCAGTAGCTGCTCTGATCCCCTTTCTAATCCCACATATCAAGCTTATGTTTAAAAAAAAATCCTATTTTTTTTCCCTTCTTGCCCATAAATGGTTACTACTTGAAACTTAAAAAACTCAATAAGTGTAAAGGCTATAGAGAAAGGTTTTGACGGATTCTGTGATTTGTATTGTTTACTGCGGAGTTATTTAAAGATTTTGGAATAAATATACAAACTACAGTTGTGAAATAAAAGTGTAAATAAATTGTATATTTTGAAAAATAAAAACACGGAAAAAGAAACCACCAAAGATTAGTCACTTCTTGATGGATGATGTGATTCAACAGACTGGGGAGGGTGACGGTCAGGGGCAGGGTGTTTTCTCACTGCCCAGGCTGTGCAGGCGATGGGAACAAGCTGGCGACTCATCCTCTGAGCTCCATTTTACTGTTTTTAAACTCCCTGCAGACAGCATCTTCCCCTAGTCCCTGCACTAGGGAAGAGAGATGTCACTCCCACCAAACCCCTTGATACACCACCAGGAAGGTTTCTTCTGGAGTTTACCACGGAAATTTTCTTTCTAGGATTTGTCAAATCCCAGCTGAGTGAGATTCCAGTGGGCTGCCCTAACACCAAGAGTGGAGGCCCTCGAAACAAATGCCCATGGTGGGAACTAGAACTTGAGGGCAGCTCTGTCTTGCAACAGCATCTCAGAATTCCCAAGCCACCCATCTCACCCACCTGCCAAAATTCAGATCCATGTCCTCAAAAGTCAGGGGTCTCGTTTAGTAGGTCCAGCATGATGCCAAAGCAGATGCCGAAGCAAAGGGAGCTAATCCTGGCCCCACCTCGTCTCTGAGTTAAAAGTGCTGGCTTTCCGCCCTCCCTGGTGGCGCAGCGGGTTAAAGCACAGCACTGAGAATCTAAAGCCACTTCCACATGAGTTCGATTC